AGCTTATCCTATTCTGGGATCTGACTTATAGGGGAGAAACAAAATCAACCCCTTGTTTACTATGTTAGCAGGGGTAGGCCAGTAGCAGCCTGTCTTGAACACAGACTTTAATCACGGATGCCTTCATTTAGTATCACCACCAACCCTAAGGACTGAAGGGACAGAGGAGAAAGACGAAAGTGTATGTGTCCTTCCCAGGCATGTCGAAGTGGAAGGGGCAATAGTGATAAGCATCCCAAGATACCTGAGGACTGAGAGGGTCAGGAGACAGCTGACTGGGATTGTGCAAGAATAGCTCAGTGCCAGCTGCCTTGACTGTTTGATTCCCCACATGTCCTTTGTAGAGTATCTGAAGTGACCATTCAGCTCTGTCCTCCTCCTGGCTCTTTGATCTATGTACAGGAGGACATTTTTGCAAGACTTTCATTTCCCAGCCTCCTATCTCCCAGATTATGTGTATACTATGAAAAAGCATTATGCTGTAAAATGTGCTAACTAATGCATTTTAACTAAAACAACATTAAACATGATTTGACACTATGTATAGACAGGGACAGTTGTGTTTAAAATAGTTAAGTTCCTAGGTTAAACATGACCAATAAACATTTTAAACACAACTATATCTGTCTACCATTGTCATGTTTAACATTCTGTTAGTTAAACATTTTTTTTTCTAACGTGTTTTTCCAGTGTAAATAGGCATCAGTGTGGGGAATTTGGCATTCCCTCTTTAGTCTGTGAGACAGAGGTCTGGGGAAAGAGACTTGCAATGCTGCTTCCTAGACCATGATAGCTCAAAGGGGCACTGTGAAGGGAGATAAGGCTGATGATCTGCCAGTACAGCCAGGCTCTGGAACCCACGAAGCCCACCCTCAAACCTTTAGGTTTAGGGCCCTAGATATTTAAGGAAAATCTTATCTTTCATTTTGATTTCTAAAATAACTATTTCCAGAATCTTTTCTTGCCAAGACTCTCTAAAATGTAAAGATCTACATTGACAGTAGAGATGGAATGAACAAGTAGCTGGGCTCCAATTCTGCAACAGGAGATTGGAAACGCACACAATCCTTATATAAAATAAATCTTACATTTGGGGTGTATCACAAAGAATCATTGTGCTATACCTATGCACAGTGGTGTGACCATCATGGTAAACTGTCAGTTACATTTGGAGGGAGGAGAGGAGGCACAACTTTATTCTGAATGCCTGCCCAACAGTGCTAAAGTTGGCTCTATTTGCAAGGTTACTATATGTTGCTCTGGGCTTCCTTTGCTGCATATGGCTGACCCTGAGCTCCTTCTTCCTCCCCGGAGAACTAGCTCCTGTAGCTCCTTCACTGGACAAGATATTTATTTAGCATTATTCTCTGGGTAAAAATGTTTGTTAAAGAAATCAGGATTTGTGTTGGGCTGGTAGAGGACTCATTCAGTTTGTGAATGCATATCAATGAAACAGGTGTAAATAAATCTGATAGCTTTAAATTATGTAAAATTGCATTCCATCTACTGTGCTATAGAGGATAGTGATTTCTTAATCAGGATATCTGCCCCTCATGTCACTCTTTGGGAAGTACAAATGTACTAACTAACAAGATAACTGTATCTGAGGAGATAATTGGGGATTAAATATCTAATCTGTAGAATATTGCAAATAAATCTTAAAATGTTTCAGTACTTAAAGAATCACTGGAACTGCTGATGCCACCTTTTTATATAATGGTCAAGATATACAAATGACCAATCTGTCTTTAAAACAAAATATTTTGGTCCTCTGAAGGCTTTGTCTGTCCCCACTCCTAATTACTAGCCCCACCATCTCTTTAGAGTTTGTTTTCATCTAATCTTGTGTGGTGTTATACACCCTCAATCTGTTTTGTCTTCAGAGGGTGAGGGTGCTCAGAAGCGTCCTGCATATAGCATCATCATCCTGCTGAATTCTCCCTCAAAGAGGAGCAGCACTGGGGCTGTGAGGAGAAGCATTTGTCACCTCTGTAAAGAACAGGGCAACTAGGAGAGGGCTAGGAAGAATCCCCGAGAGCAGAGAATAGAGAGATGGCCATAGCAGAGGGACTGTCTCCTGTATTTAAAAAGTTTAGGATCAGTAAAATGTCTAATATTTAAAATTCAGCTGGTACAGATAAAAATAAGAGATTAAGTATTATATTATGAATGTTAAAGTGAACAGAAAAATCCTAAAAGCTAGTAGCATCCTATCTGTAACAACAGAAATCTCATGATTTCTCAATTTTTGTTATGACTAAAAGCTACTCTTGTACGCTATGAGAGTTCTTAGGAAGATAAGTAACAAAACTAATGCAAAATATGCATGCTTATATTTATGTGTAGAGTAAGGTTTGATAAAATAACTAGTTTTCTAAATCAAGAATGTAAGAGCACTTTCCTGCCTATTGGCCTTTGTATTTGTACTCTTATAAAATGCTGTCAGTACATCATCAATGTTAAAAATTTAATTGCACAAAAGTCAGAAAATTCATAATAAATGTTTCCATGGCAACCTCAGCTCAGTAGCTCAATTCAGCAACCTTTATTATTTCATTACATAATTGCAGAACACATATTTAGTAAAACAGAATGTTATATTACAAAAGTACTATGTAACCATAAAGTTGTATATATATCACATCTTATTGATAGATTTTCTGGAAGAGCTGTACAAAAAGAGCAGTTCTCTTCAATTATATTAGGGACAGTATGTATTGAAAAAAATAGCTAAATTATCAGGACACTGAAGTGATAAATCCAATACCAAACTTACTGAAATCCTAGGAAACATCTAGAATGACACATCCTTCAATTTCTAAGGCTCTGTGAAGAATTCGTATCTGATCTCTTGACATCAGAGGTAAAGTAGAAGTCATAGATGAAGTCTAACACAATACAAATGATAGATAATTGCTTTTCCAATGATCTGCATAAACACCCGTTACTTCTAGTTAGAAACTTCTCAAACTGTTCACAATCTCCACATTATAGTATTACATAACTTTCAGAAGAGTGTCACATTAGCTAGTGTTAGATGAATATATTGTGAAAGCCCCTATTGTAATGCATAGGTAAATTTCCAATTTTAATGCAACTACAATCTCAGGCTTAATGGTGCAACACTATGTTTATTTTTTTAAAGAAAAACAGACTGGAGAAATAATGATTTTCACTAAATACTCATCAAACAATGCAAAAATTACAGTAAAATCTGCCTTAGAGCCTACCTCTGAAGAGAGGTCCCTGTCACGACCAACTAGTTGCAGAGGCCACAGAACACAGCTGCTCTCTGGTCTGCAAACCTTTGAAGAGAGACCACCTCTTACAAGAGACCACTTTTGCTAACTCCCATGCGTGGTAGCTCTTGGCAGGTTTTACTGTACTTGGAAAACTTTCCACTAGCCCTTGGGCTAAAAATCTTTGAAGTTCCATCCTGAAAGGTCTCTTATTGAGAATAGGTGTGCAAAACGGAAATACTATTTCAATTTGTAAAGCCACTGAATAGGGTGGAATATCAATGTTAAAGTTCATATCAGGAGAATAATAATCCAAATTGTTAGTTTTTTCCCTCATATAATCTGTATTAGGCATTTGTACCAGGACTGAAATACTGAATACGAATTTGAACTTAACTCCTATGATGCCTGCATGCTCAAAGAGTATGCCTTTCCTAGACCACGAATATTCATATGGTACTCACTGTATCACACAAACATTCTATAGCATATGGCCTTAGGAGACTGAAATTCCTACACTCCTGGGAACAACAACTTCGAATCCTAGTAGTCATCTTGGTTTATTCTTCTAAAATAGATACATTGAATATGATGAAGTTTACTGTGAAGTTTTTCAGATGAGATATAAACAAAAATCTAAGATTCTAAATAACCCTCTTATTCTTTCAAGAAAGCATTTGTCCTTGTGTGTGTGGCCAAAATTCCCTTCGCTGTGTGTCCTGTCTGCTGTTCATTTGCCAGATACCTGCAATCTGAGGGAGCTTTTATTATGGATTTAGTTAGGGAAGCACTTTGAGATGGCTTAAGAAGAAATCAGCAATATAAATGTGAGTTAATAAAGGCCATACAGTGTATGTGCCTATTAAAGTGTCATAAACTGAAGGTTAGAGCAAGGGTTGGTTTATCACTTCACTGTTAGTTGAGGTACACACTTGTATACCGCTTCTCCTGGGTAGTACTGGTGGAAGAGATCAGGTTAACTACTCAGCATGGACAAGCACAATACTTATTATCAAACAACAGCAGTGTAATAGTGACACACACACGCACACTGTTCTGGATTAAACAATAGCTTTGTTTACAAACAAAATGTTAAAGTTCACACATTCAAATTACATAACTTAGACTTCTCTGGACATATCCGTGCTCCCCACTAGCTAGCAGAGCCCTGATTCAAAAGAGGTAGAAGGAAAAATAAAAACTCACAGCTCTAGTTGTTTGGTGGCTGTCCACAAAGGCGGCTGCTGGTGGGGGTAACATTTGGCACCTCCAAACCTGCAGTTTTCGCTGTTGCCAGATCTTGCCATTTGTTTTAGCAGAAGAGGTGTGATATTCGGAGTGTGTCTTTTCTCCATGCAACCCCAGCTCCTGGAGGCATTTTTCCTTATTTCCCCTCAGAATCTGCTGTGGCGCAGGACCACTAACACCTCGCGCGTGTGCCCCCATTTCCCGCCCTTTTCGTTCCCCTCTGCGGGTACCGTGCGGCCCCGGGAGCGCTGGAAGGCAGGGGAGGTGTCTACGTCTGCGCGCGATGTGGAGGGGGCGGCGGGCGGCGGCGGCGCCAGTCCTTCGGCGACGACGGCGACAGTGAGGAGGCTGGAGCTCATGATAGTGACCTGAGGGAGGGAAGTGGGGACCCCTACAGCCGGGGGCTGGACTGTGAGAAGCCGAGAGCCGCCGGTACCATTCTCATCACCGCGGGCCGTTCGCAGCTCCGTGCTGGGTGCTGCCGAGCCCGGAGGGATCCGGCACCTGGCGCGGCGGCTCCCTGGGGAGTTGCGCAACCCCCCCGCCTCCCAGCACCTGCGCCTGGCCTGAGTGAGAGCGAGGAGGAGACGCTGCTGTGCCCGGGGGACTGTGCGGAGCGGCGGCTCCGCTGTCAGCTGGGGAAACCGCCTCCGCTCCATGAGCAGGGCTCGGCTGCTGCGCTCCGTGAGGGGGGAACCGCGGCCGCCGCCGGCACCAGCATGTGGACCCCGACCGAGGAGGAGAAATACGGCGTGGGTAGGTGCCGAGCCCCCTCTTCCCTTCCCCTGCTCCCCCAGCCACTGGCAGCACGGCGGCCCCCCTTTACTGCCTCAGTGGGCTGGGGAGCTCCGCACTGGGTGTGGGTCTGTATCCCGAGCTGACCTCTTACGGTCCGAGGGTGGTGATGAGGCTGCCCCTCTTCTGAGCAGCCCCAGCTATTGTGCTGCGGGCGGGCGTTGCACATTGAACCCAAAGTTGCTGTAGCGGGAAGGGTCGTGGTGGGCCGCAGGTGGAGGGATGCGGGGGTGGGGCTGTTGCTGCTGCATGGCAGCGGCCGTCTCTCCGCCTTTTGAAAACAGTAACGTGTGCAGCAATGTTCGCATCCCACTGTTCCCAACTGCACCACAGGCCTAGGCATCCCCCAGCCCCCATCGCCTTGCGGGTACAGTAGGGAACGAAGGGGGCCATGTTATGGGGCCGGCCCCATCTCCCATGTGCGTTGAAGGGCTGCCCGCTAAAAATAAGATTAATATCATGAGGTCTGTGTGTGAGGTGAAACATCTGTTTGGGACTTTAGTCCTTTCGGATTTTCGAGCCTGGAGTCCAGTGTTTATATGAATTGGAAGTCCAATTGAACTGTGCATTTTTGGTTTTGTGGGGTTTTGTGGTTTTTTTAGGCGGTAAGGGAGTGGAAGGAGAGGAGTAGGCTTCCAGGGTTTACTTATAGGTTCTGTTTGCGGAAATAATCAGTAAACGAGTCTCTCAACCTTAATCTATTTATCTGCTATTCCTTTTTCTCTCTATTTTAATCTGTGCTCTGTGGTGTTCTTGTTTATATGGTTGAGTTTAGAGAAAGGGAAGGATTATGATGGTATGTCATTAGGGGGCGCCAGCGATGCACCTGCTCTGAGTCCTGATATCCTTCCAGGAAAAGAGACACAAGATGTAACATATAGATAAATGTTAAAACCTGGTATTGTACTAAGCCCTGGCTATGACATTGAAAGCTGATGAGCATTTTTGGATTCTGGCAGCACTTAACACTAGTAACCCAGAGCTACTAAAGAAACCAAAATGAACGAAAAAACCCCCAACCTTTTAATGGTGAAACTAAGTAGTATGGTGTTATGTATAATATGAAGGGACTATATATACTCAGGTGACCATTTCCTCCATTTCAAAATTTGTAAAAAATTCACATCTTGTGTAATATTCCTGAAAATGTCAGTAAAAATACATTATACTTTCTGCTAACATTATTTTCCTGGGTGTTTGATATAGCTTATTGTACACTGTTAATAATAGATGCAGTTTTGGTCAGATGCCATAATAATGCACATTGAGTAACACATACTTGTTATAGTCAACATTCATTATATTTTTACAAACATGTCTTGTTTCTTGTAAACTTAGTATATTTTAAATACTTTTTATCAACACTTGATATTTTATCATGAAAATTGGTATCTCTAGGATGTGGGAAAACTGCACCTTCTGAAATGACAGTTCACTTCTGCTCAATTATAAAGTTAAAATGTTAATGATTTAGCATAGGTGGTGAGTTATATGGACCTGTGGTGCCCCTGCTCCACCAATATTCAGGAACATGGGCCTGGTTCCACCAACGTTTGGGCTGATGTTTTCAGAGCCATCCCGTCCATAGGGCGGACCAGGGCAACTGAGTCGCTTGCTGGTGCCAGGCCCCCCACTAACCCCCCAGGCTGCCCTGGACCCTGCGTCCCCCTGAAGTGTGGGGGCCCCCCAAAGCGCTGGGCACAGGGCAGTTGCCCCGGTCCATCCTGTGGACGGGATGGCTCTGCTTGGACCCGTTCTGGGCACCACCAAAAATTTTATAAACCTGGCACCCATGTGATTTAGAGCAATTTTTGAGTGGTTTAGAGGACCAGTAACATGACAAAGAATTCTCAATTAATTTATCTTATTATGCAGCTGTGTAGTAGTTTTATTACAGCTAGATTTATACATGTGGTAAAAACAAATTTTATTTGCTTATAACAAGCATCATAGAACGTATTAATGTATAGACACATAAGGAATGCAGTTTTATAAGAAAAGCAATTAAATTTGGTGAATGTTTCTCCCAGAGATACATGTATTAAATGCAAAAACCTATGATAATATATGTAATAAGGATGTAAATTTACTACTAATTAATTGAAAAACCCAGGGGAAAATTCAGTTTAGGTACCTGCAGCAGCATTGTTACCACAATGTGTATACTGTGTAAAATACACATTTTAACCTCTAAGAAGAGCCTATATTGTAATCGGTAATATTATATATGGTTTTTGTGTTGAGAACCTTAAGTGAATCTTCTGATAAGTTTAACTTCATATTAACAACTGTAATGTTGTATTAAATTAAGCTTTTTGTATTTTAAGTTTATATATAAAAATTGTATAGCAGGGGTACCATGTTTGTTTGTTAGTTTGTTGATGTTTTTTGGGTAACTGTTTAACTTTGCTTTAAATTGACTGTAGATGCAGGAAAATCCCAGCTGCAGAACTATGAAGTTCCACAATGTGGCAATAATGTAACTAAAACCTTTTCTTACTCTAATGTGAAAGTGAATTTTTAATCATTTTCCTGAATTGTCATTCTATCCCATTTATAAACTGATTCTTCCTCACTGTGGACTAACAGCACATGAAGTTTGATGGTTTTAATACTTTCTCTTTTGAGCATTGTACGTAGTCATGGTGATCTTTGGGAAAAAAAAGGTTCAGAGTAGCAACTGTGTTAGTCTGTATCCGCAAAAAGAACAGGAGTACTTGTGGCACCTTAGAGGCTAACAAATTTATTAGAGCATAAGCTTTCGTGGGCTACAGCCCACTTCATCGGATGCATAGAATGGAACATATACTAAGATATATATACATACAGATAAGTTGGAAGTTACCATACAAACTGTGAGAGGCTAATTAGTTAAGATGAGCTATTATCAGCAGGAGAAAAAATCTTTTGTAGTGATAATCAAGATGGCCCATTTAGACAGTTGACAAGAAGATATGAAGATACTTAAGGAAATAGATTCAATATGTGTAATGACCCAGCCTCTCCCAGTCCCTATTCAAACCCAAGTTAATGGTGTCTGGTTTGCATATTAATTCAAGCTCAGCAGTTTCTCATTGGAGTCTGTTTTTGAAGCTTTTCTGTTGCAGAATTGCCACCCTTAAGTCTTTACTGAGTGGCCAGAGTGGTTGAAGTGATCTCCTACCAACTTTTGAATGTTATGATTCCTGATGTCAGATTTGTGTCCATTTATTCTTTTGTGTAGAGACTGTCCGGTTTGGCCAGGGTATCTGGCAGAGGGGCATTGCTGGCACATGATGGCATATATCACATTGGTAGATGTGCAGGTGAATGAACCCCTGATGGCATGGCTAATTTGATTAGGTCCTATGATGGTGTCACTTGAATAAATATGTGGACAGAGTTGGCATCGGGCTGTTGCAAGGATAGGTTTCTGGATTAGTGTTTTTGTTGTGTGGTGGCTGGTGAGTATTTGCTTCAGGTTGGGGGGCTGTCTGTAAGTGAGGACTGATCTGTCTCCCAAGATCTGTGAGAGTGAGGGATCATTTTTTAGGATAGGTTGTAAATCTTTGATGATGCGCTGGAGAGGTTTTAGTTGGGGGCTGAAGGTGACAGCTAGTGGCGTTCTGTTATTTTCTTTGTTGGGCCTGTCCTGTAGTAGGTGACTTCTGGGTACTCTTCTGGCTCTGTCAATCTGTTTTTTCAGCAGGTGGGTATTGTAGTTTTAAGAATGCTTGATAGAGATCTTCTAGGTGTTTGTCTTTGTCTGAGGGATTGGAGCAAATGCTGCTGTATCTTAGAGCTTTGCTGTAGACAGTGGTTCCTGTGGTGTATCCTGGATGGAAGCTGGAGGCATGTAGGTAAGTATAGCAGTCAGTAGTTTCTGGTGTAGGGTGGTGTTTATGTGACTATCACTTATTAGCACAGTAGTGTCCAGGAAATGGACTGCATGTGTGGATTGGTCTAGGCTGAGGTTGATGGTGGGATGGAAATTGTTGAAATCATGGTGGAATTCCTCAAGGGCTTCTTTCCCATGGGTCCAGATGATGATGATGTCATCAATGCAGCGCAAGTAGAGTAGGGGTGTTAGGGGACGAGAGCTAAGGAAGCATTGTTCTAAGTCAGACATAAAAATGTTAGCATACTGTGGGGCCATGCGGGTACGCATAGCAGTACCGCTGACTTGAAGGTATATATTGTCCCCAAATGTGAAATAGTTGTGGGTGAGGACTAAGTCACAAAGGTCAACCACCAGGTTTGCTGTGACATTATTGGGGATACTGTTCCTGATAGCTTGTTGTCCATCTTTGTGTGGAATGTTGGTGTAGAGGGCTTCTACATCCATAGTGGCGAGGAGGGTGTTTTCTGGAAGGTCAGCGATGGATTGTAGTTTCCTCAGGAAGTCATTGGTGTCTTGAAGACAGCTGGGAGTGCTGGTAGCGTAGGGCCTGAGGAGAGAGTCCACATAGCCAGACAATCCTGCTGTCAGGGTGCCAATGCCTGAGATGATGGGGTGTCCAGGATTCCCAGGTTTATGGATCTTGGGAAGAAGATAGAATACCCCTGGTCAGGGTTCTAGGCAAAAAAGAGTGTATGTGTGTTCTGCCTTCTTAACTCAAAAGCAACTGTATTGATTTTGCTTAATCTGAGGCAAAGAGGGATCACTGTTGGGCTCTAAACAAGCCTGGAAAAGTCAACCTAAAGTGAGAAATGAGTAAGTGACAACAAGGGGGAATATAATGAAAGTTTCTGGAGTCTTGGACATCTTCCTGTAACACCTGTTCCCTTATTTGGGCTATAAAGACAGAGGGTATGAACCTCAAGTGATAAGCAATTGAATGAATTGATTGTATACAATATTACTGTAATTATAAAAGTTTATCAAGTGAGGTGTTTTATGAAAGCCTGTGACACACCGGTGATTAAACCTGTAAAATGTATGTTTTAACACTATATAAAGAATTATGGATACTCACTGATAT